GCAGCAATAGGTCAAGGTTTGAAAAATTATAGTACTATAGAAATGTATCAGAAATATATCATTAGAATTTCACCATATGTTATAGGATGGAGTTCTGCAATCCTGTGATGTAACACTTCTAAAATGCAGTGCTGTCCATGTTTACACAAGCCTAAATCCCTTGTTGTCAATGGTCCTTCCCAGGGTGTTTATATAGGAAGAAAGGCTTGATAAATGATTATTCATTAATCTTTCTGGATTTTTAAAGGACAAAGTAACAGTAAGAGTACTTAATCCATTCATTGGTTAAGTATAGCATTCAGAATTCCTCCATCTATCTTTAATTGAATTCAGTAATGCCATTTATCAGGTTCCTTAGGTGATCTTCATTAAGATACTGGTTAGATCATGATCATCTGAGGCTTCAGCAAAGTCCCCAGACTCTGTTTTTGATTTCCAAGGTCCTCAAAATGGGAACATTGAGAAACGCTCCCATGATAGATGTGACCAGTCACGGGATACTCTGCAAAACAAACTGGTGATGTGAAAACAAAAGTAGCTTTTCTAAGAAAAGCGTACAACAGAGATGGGATTGAGCTTTAAAAAACACTACTCTTCAGAGAGGTGTTTGAGCACCTCCCATCTGGTCCTGTTTATTGTGAAAATTTGTTGGTGTCATTGGCTTTTATGGCTTTGATTTGTCATTGCTGTTTCTGTTACATTTTGGTGTCCATCATTTGTTTGTCCTGGTTTGTAATTGTCTGTAAGCCTCCCAGAATAGTGCCTTGGGATTAATGGGGTGGTATATAAGTTAAATATAAATAAATATAAATAAAACCATGAAAAAAGGAACCTTCCAAAGTTCATCTCCACTGCATTTACCTCTGCAATTTTTGCTGAGTACAGTATTTCAATATTCTGTTTAGACTCTAAATTGAATTGGGAAGAACTGGAATATTTAGCAGAGTCTCGCTAACAGCAAACACCTAGTAAAAGACAACCAACACACCTGGGACTAGATTTCTGTGTAGCAATCACGTTTCTCTGTTTCTCATCCCCAAAGCAGGCAAAAGTATCATAGTTTATTCCCCAAATCTGAATCCCAGTCTCTCTGCTCCTGGTCCTGCTTTGACTGCAACACCAAACGAAAGGTCTTACAAACAAAATGTTGTAGTTTTCTTTATTGAGTCAATCCATCTCATGTGCAGTCTTACTCTTTCCCTACTGCATTGCACTTTTTCCTGCATTGCTGCCTTTCCCAGTGAGCTTGTCTTCTCATGATGCCACTGTAGTACAATACCCTTTGCTTGGTTAGTTTAGCTTCTAGTGCGAGTCCACACTTAATTTGCTTTACTTATCTTTCTGACAAGTCATGATATCTATAAATCTCTTTTCCAACACTACATTTCAAATAAGTGAAATGTGTGTATAAACTTTATGTAGTGTATAAAATGTTGGTATTCAGTTTAAAAATTTGCACTCCTATATACAGTGATACCTCGGCTTACGACCATAACCCGTTCCAGAAGATGGGCGTAACTCGAAATGGTTGTAAGTCGAAGTACCGTTTCCCATAAGAATGCATTGGAACGCAATTAATCCATTCCAGACAAAAAGGAATTAACAAAACAAAAAACAAAAAACCACTCCAAGCCCCATTGGAACGCGATGGGGCTGGGAACAAAAAAATGAACCCCCACACACGCACACACACACACACACAGAGAGAGAGAGAGAGAGAGAGAGAGAGAGAGAGCCAGCCCCATGGGGGCTGGGGAAAAAACCCAACCCGCCCCCAAAGCCAGCTCCATTGGAACGTGATGGGGCTGGGAAAAACCACACACCAAAAAACAAAAACAAAAAATCACAGCACAGAAACATACCAATCTAAATCCACCCTGCAAAACCCTCTAAATGTACTCACCCAGAAACAGAAAACAGCACCAGGCAGTCCGAAGCCTCTCTGCAAACGCGCACACACTAACCGTTGGGGCAAAAGAGCTACAAAGAAGCTCTTCACTGACCAACAATTCGCCCTCTAATTGGAATTCCCTGCCTTTTCCCCCTGCCCTTTTCTGTTCGTAACTGGAAGCTCCGGCCGCAAGTCAAAGCAAAATTTTGTGGCCGGAGCTGGTCGCGACTCTCGTATAGATTATTGCAATGCGCTCTATGTGGGGCTGCCTTTGAAGATGGTCCAGCGACTGCAACTGGTCCAGAATTGAGCTGCGCAGCTGGTGAGTGGTGGGGCCACTAGAGAACACATCAAGCTGATTCTGTTTAAGTTACATTGGTTACCAGTTGCTGCCCGGGCCCAATTCAAAGTGCTTGTTTTGACATATAAAGCCCTAAACGGCTTGGGCCCTGGATACCTGAAGGACCGCCTCCTTCCATATGAACCTACCCGGCAGTTAAGATCTAGCCAGGGGCCCTTTTGAAAGAGCCGTCCCTCAAGGAGGTAAGAGGGATGGCTTGTAGACAAAAGGCCTTTTTGGCAGCTGCCCCCAGACTATGGAATGCCCTCCCGACTGAGATTCGTCTGGCGCCGACGTTGATGACATTTCAGTGCCAGGTCAAAACCTTCCTGTTCCAGAAGGCTTTTAATTGAAATAACATCAACTCTGGGTCCTGATGGCAATTTTAATTGTATTTTAATCATTTTACCTTTTATTGTATTTTAATTGAATTTTAATTGTTGTAAGCCACCCAGAGACCTTTGGGTAGAGTGGGCGGCATATAAGTTAAACAAACAAACAAACTCAAAATGGTTGTATGTCAGGACCTTCGTAAGTCGAGGCACCACTGTATAGCTGCTTTTCTGGGAGTAGCTTACTTTGGAAAGGACCTTCGTAAGTCGAGGCACCACTGTATAGCTGCTTTTCTGGGAGTAGCTTATTTTGGAAGAAGCAAGTTCAGGATTTCAATGTACTTAATAAACTTTATAAATAGGGTGCATTTAATTCAGTGTAGCATTTTGCACTTGACTTTTTTCTAAAAGAGCTGTCAG